CTTCCTGCCCTCTTCTTCACAATATTTTCTATATATTCACAATTAATATCCATAAGGGGGGACCAGAAAGCAGCACAATTCTGATGCTAAAACCTTTCTCATTCTCATTCCCACTGGAGTTTCACACAGCCAAAACATATGACACACCGTGTCACGCACGTTACTTTGGATAAAAGGATCCACCCACTGCCCTATATTGTAATATAATATTAATGTATAGTGGATTGTAAGAAGGAGTCGATGGGACTCTTCAGTTCAAGGTTACAGACGGCTCTTTGGTTTCCTACGTGAGACCTCTGTCACAAAGCCTGGGGGGGCATGTCGACAGGCGGTGGGGGAGCATTCATATACCCCTTTGTCAGGATCTTGTGACCCACACACACACACACACACACACACACACACACACACACACTGTCCCTCTTATTTGTACCAGTGTGCCCCCTTCGCTCCTCTGTGGCCACCCATGCCATCTCATCTCTCCCTTGGGCTCCCCATATCGCTTTACTTCATTATTTAGCGTGTTATTTTTTCTCCTCCCCTGATCTATAGTCCCCACATCACAGAGGCGGCTAATTCATTATTTATAGATGGACTTGGATGAGGGGGGGGGGGGCTTTAAAAAAAACCCGCCTCATTACATATGCGCAGTGTTTTTGGAGCTTTATTAATTTAATTCTTGTCAGAAAACGCCAAAGCCTTCAGAACTCTTTTGCCGTTTTAATACATTTATTTATTTATATAGCATCCTGCTCCTGCTTTCGTCTTCATCCTCCAACCCCTTCCACCCAACCCCATCTACAGTATGTCTTGATTCTTATCTCACCTTCTACGTATCTGCGTGCAGACACACACGCGCACACACACACACACGCACACTAGCTTGCCGACTGTCTCATTATCAGCTCTTGGCGAATGTTAAAAGGTGTTTTGCTCGCTTGCGAGTAGAGATTATCTCATCCGCCCGCTGAACATTTGTTTTATTAATTTTTTTCTTTTGCTTTTTTTTTTTCTCCCATTGGTGTGGAACGACGTGGTGCGGTACACATCAGAGTGCATTTGAAATGAAGGAAGGGATATTTTAGAAAAGGCCTGACCTAGAATGACAGCTGCTCTGCTTTGAGAAAGCTCATGGCGACATTAAATCAAAACTGGCGTCTGGGTGTCGGCACTAAGATGTAAAAATATTTAGGACAAGCGTTGTAATAATATTGTTGTTAGGAATAATGGTTTGGGCTTGTTTTTGTCTCTAGAAGATATCTCCTCTTTGTTTGTATGCAGGAGATGTTCAGTTAGGTGCATCTTAATAATCTACATAATTGTACATGCCTTCACTGTGAACAAATGGAAACAGTGGTGCTAGCTTTAGGCACAAAGCTAACAGCAGCCTTTGAGGGAAAACAAAAACGGAGATGTAAGGAAAGCCCTCTGGGTGCTTGGCTTTGAACCGAAGTTGGAGGCTTGGACGTCCGCCACCGTAAACACACACTTGCTCAAAAAACACAGGTACAAATACACACTTTTACAGCCCAATCCAATCGGGGTGCGAGAGCTTATTTCACAGTTACTGGCTGACGCTTTGTTTGTGTGCTCAGAAACAAAGAATTTTCAATTTGGCAAAAGGCAGTTTTCTGCAACAGTCTCCACATCTGTTGGTGTTAAAAACTGCTTATGAAGATGTCAGAATGAAAAGACAGTGATCAAAATCTCGAAATAGAGCAGATGTTTGTGTGCCTTGTTTTGGTGTGGAGAAACCATCTGTGGCGGTGCATTCCTTCACGCTTCATTTCCACTGCACGCACACATGTAACTTTACTATAAAAGGCTCTCACCGGTTATAGAAGACAAAGTGAACCTTATAATGAAGCGAGCTGCTGTTCCATGCAAAATCGGGTCCTGCTGAGGGGGATTTTTGTGTGGAGAAACTCAGCTTTTTTTAAAAAAACCTGCAACCATCACTGAGCCATTTATGGCATGCACCCTTTCCCACCGATATAGTATATAAACATACACACAACACTTACTACACACACGTGCACTCTCCTTCCTCTTCCTGCCCTGTTGGTTCTCCTGAAGTTTCACATCTGGCCAAGACAACCACAGCATCCGTCTTCACAGATGAAGTAAAAGCTGAGAAAAAGGATCTCTTCTAACTTCAAACGAATCCCCTCTGTGAAATATTGTTTCAATGCACTCTGCACTTTGTAACCCTGATGCCGGCTTTGAACTGTTTTGGCACCCGTCACAAATACTGATGAAATAGTTTCTCTCCGAGAGCACTTTTTGCTTTATCCTTCTTGCTTTCCATCAATATCCTCTTTTTCCTCCCTCCTAATTCCATCTCTTTCCCAGAACCCCTTTTCCCTTTCATGTCTCCCAGAAAACCTGTTTTCTGTTTCCTGATATGTAGAGAGCAACTTGTACCTCCATATTGTACAGTCAGCTTTATTTACTGTATTTTTGTAATACATAGGACTGAATGTAGCACATGGATGCTGTAAGGAAAGAGGACGGCCAAAGAAAACGACAATCAGACAGCTGAGCTGACACAAAGTCAATAGAGGGATGAATAAAACATCGGTTAGCTGCAGCTTGCACTAGAGGCTATGCTAGCTTCTGACACAGTTGGCTCTAGCAGCAGGATGCTCAGAAACCCTCTTTTATTTTACTTGGGCACCTTTGACAATGCAAGCCCACCGCTTTTGACATCAGCATCTTTTTTACTGAGGCAGGACTTCAAAAGCCACAAGTGCAAATTAATCTCTGTTTTCTCCTCTCGCTCTCTCTCTCTCGCTCCATCTCTGGCCCCCTCCTTCAATTTCTAAGTGTGGTCCGAGGCTCCAGGCTGTTAATTAAGTAGGATGTTGTCGGGGGGGCTTGGGTACGTGGTTTTGACTGTTGGATGGATGGAGGGGATGGGATGGGTAAAGAGAAAGGTGCGGAGGGATTAAGACATTCTTCTAAAATGTCTTCTCTCTGTCTCTTTTCTTTCGACCCTTCATTTTCTCTTTCTCCTTTCCTCGCATCAACAGCTTTCTGACTTCCCCGTTTTACTTTGCTCTGTTCCGAATTAAACTTGCCTCCTCCGCTTTTCCCTTCTCGCTTCCTTCACTTTCTTTCACATGCTTTTCACTCGCCATCTCTCTCTCTCTCCACTCCCTTCATTTCACTTCCCCCTCCTTCTTCTCTCCATTCCCTCCCTCTTCCTCCCTCCACCCTTCCCTACCTCACTCCGTCCTTTTGTGCCATCCATTTTTCCACCCATCACCCACCTTCCTCCTAGTTGATTATATGCCAGGTCTTCTGTAGCCCTCTTCTTCCTCCTCCCTAGTATTCCCCTCTCTCATTATGTGTTATGCATGTGTTTGTGTGTGATCAGACACACAAGGCCAGGGCTAAGCAGCCTAATGAACAAACTCCGGCATTGTGTTCAGGCCCCGGGGACGTGCTGTAGCTTCTAATGTACAACAGCTCAGAGGAGAGGAGGGGAAAGAAAAATTCACTGACAGGGAGCCAGCTATCTGCTTAAAGGAAAAGCTACAACAAGAAGTGAAGTAGAGAATGTGCAGAGCATATTTTACAAGGATCTGGTCGATGTTTTCTTATCCCAAGCTTTTCTGACTCGTCAACATGTTGTCCTATCCTGCAACGTGACGCTGTCAATTTCAGGCTCTTCTATACTCTTGTTAGATACATATTTTGGACTGGAAGAAGGATGAAGATTTGTTTTGTTCAAGCACGGCTGAAATATGTGTTTGGGTTTATTTTGGTGAATGCTTGTTCAGAAACAAGTCCACGGTTTCCAGACCTCTTTTCCTTGTATTAAAAGAAAGTTCTCTTTCTGCCACATGTCTCTTATTATGTGAGTCACTTTAACAGTTTCTCTAGGTTGTGAAATATGTGATTTGTCAGCAGCACTCTATTTTCTTATCATTTTGGCTCAAACTGTAGGACACAGGGTGGGTTAGTTCCAACCAAGCTTTAACTCATATCGTATAAGATCTGTCACCCTCCCTCACGTTCCGTCTCTCCCTCATTATCAGCGTTGACGAGATCTGCATCGCTGCCAAATCATGGCATGAGCACAGTAATGAATTCATTTCTTCCAGCACATGCACACATGCATATCTTGGAAACATTACATCCCGAGTGGACTGTCCTTTCTTATTCTGCCTCAGTGAAGTGAACATGTGCAAGCGTAGGCGCACATTAATCCAACTGTACATCGAGAAACTTGTTTGTCTATGTGAGGACACACACCCAGACCTCCAGGGTGGTGAACTCCAGTGCTGTGAGCCAGTGAATGGGCTGCTCCCAGATGATCTAAACAAGACCGTGTGTGTGTGTGTGTGTGTGTGTGTGTGTGTGTGTGTGTGCGTGCGTGCGTGCGTGCGTGCGTGCGTGCGTGCGTGCGTGCGTG